TTTCTGAGCGGGTTGAACAATATTGATGTTTTTTTCCAGGAGCTGATGGGGTCTGAACAACAAACCTCCAGAGAAACCGAGAGCTCCAATCTGACATCAAACCTTTTTCAGCTGCATGGCGTCTCAGGAAGACAAATCCATATTTCCAGACAGACTCAGACTCAGAGGCCGTCGGGAGGGGGGGGCTGCTCCTCAGAGCCCTTTCAGAGCAAACACAAACAGCGTCTTTGTGTTTTCATGCAGGAACAACAACATTTTGCTGCTCTGCAGACAGAGACTCCATCTCTGGAGACTCCATCAACTTAATTCAGTGGTTTAAACAGGTTGGAGAGCTTCTACTCAAACCTGTTAGGTCCTAAACACCTGCATATTTTCCAGGTTTTCTTGGAGGTCTTGATGGGCTCCTGGTGGGTCTTAGGGGCTCCTTGTGGGTCTCGAGGATGGGGGGGCTCAGGGCTGAGCTCATATGTTTGCACAAGGCTCTGCAGGCTGATTACATCTGGGCTCCTCCACCAAACCCGGACGTGAGCCAGCTGGACCCACAATTGGAGGGCAGCTCCAGACTGGAACAGCTCCAGACTGAACCATGAGTCCATCAGGAAACGGGGTCTGCAGGAAACCAGAAGGCCGAGTCTGTTTCAGGGGGTCTAGGTAGCAAAAGCTGAACCATTAGAAGGAGCTAAAAGCTAAGACTGGGTCAGCTTTCAGGGTTAAGGTCAGGACTCACCCTCTGGGGGGGGGGCTACTTCAGACCCCTCGTTTCCCAGAATTCCCACCCGCATCGCACAAACGGATGGATGGATCCTCTCCATAAATAACCATCAGAGCGAAGCCAAAACCAGCATGTTTTTCTCCCCATGCTTTGTTTGGGAGCCGGGCAGAGAGGAGCTGGGCCTGCCACAAGCCTCTGGCAGGGAAGAACAGAACGAACGGGAGGGGGGGTAGAGACGGGCCTGCACATGAAATTAGAAACAGAGGAGGGCGTCGCTTTGATGGTTGAGGCTGCCTGGATTCACTGGTTCAGGTCACAAATCACTGAAACACAAGCTCGAGTCTCCCAGAACTCCACTGGTCCAGGGGTTTTACATCCAGTCCAGAGGTTTTATATCCAGTCCAGAGGTTTTACAGAC